AAAAAAAATCAAATTTATTAAATTATAAAGCAACTAATGTAAATGTAATTTTTGTGATGAATTGACTGTGAAAAGAGGAGATGGGTTTTATGGAGGTCCTGGTGGTGTTTGTGGTGTTTTCTGGTGTTGTTGTTACTAGTTCTTATGGTGGAGGCTGGTAGTCAGAAAACAATTGTAAGCGAGATGCTTTCGCCGGTGACTAATGACTATTCACATTTGCTGTTTCTCACAAAAGAATGTTAAAAATAATATTTCATCCACTAGTGGCGTAGCCATATATTATCAAGGGTGTTCAATTTCGGGAAAAAAATAGCATACATATTAAATAACTTATTTTGAACATTCTTAGCATAACAATTTGTTATTTTTGGACACCCTTTAAAAAATTTCTAACTCCGCCATCATCATCCACACAAAATGAATTGGTTTTTTTATTCCCTTTTACAAATATCAATTTAAGTTATAATGTTAATTCATTAATAAAGTTTATGTTACATTCTGTTTTTAAAACTAAAATTAAAAACATTTCATAGCTGTTAATTTGAAAATAATTAATAAGAGTTGCCAAAGTAATTTAGAAAAATTAAAAAACTATTTAAAAAGATATTTTTTGGGAAAGAAAACCTTGAAATAAATAAACTAGAATCGAATAAGAGTTCAAACAATCCTCTATTAAAAGAATACTACAACCCCAACATTATTCATCTAATAATAATATAACTTGTTAGAGCTTGTAATTAATTTTGTGTACTATCATATATTCCATGACATCATCCATATGGTGAACATCTCCTCAAGGAGAAATTATATTATTATTGTCATGGTCAAAATATTATGAGGAATACATGTTTCTTGTTTTAATTTTGTTGTACCATAGATATACAACCAATAACAAATTTATATTACCACACAATAATATTATTTTGGTCATGGACACAATCTTTGCAGGCAAGAATTATTTCTTTCTTTTGCATTTTCGATACTTCACAATAAACATGTCATAATTACGTGTAAACGTACACGACCATTGACCATTCTTGCCAAATAAATTTATTTATTTCTCTCAAACCTCCCGTAGAGATGAGTTGTGGCGTATATCTTTTTTTTTCTCAAACCTCTCATAGAGGTGAGTTGTGGTATATATCCAACCCATAATGATTTTATCACATCTTGACTCATTCTCTTATAGAATGATCGAGCATTCACGATAATCATCACCAGTCACATTCTCTTCAAAGTATGGACTAATCATTTACATGTACTTCATAAATTTGCATTATAATTACATTGTCATGGTTTTAAAATTCAGCATATTTCCATGACACACCTCAACATCACTTTGAAAAATCAAGTGTACCATCACTTTATCTTCTTGTCTTTTGATGGAGAATTTATAAACTCGTCAAATTATTGGGTCTACAACATTCACAAGTCCAATGACCTTTCATACATTTTTATAATAAAAATTGCCTTCACATTTGGAAGGACTATTTGGAGAACTCGTAGTGTTCTTTCTTTTATAATTACCACAATAATAACTATTATTATTCAGTCCCTTCACGCCCTTTTTCATATTGTTAAGGGAAAATACCCAAGTACCCCCTCAACCTATGCCCGAAATCCCAGAGACACACTTATACTATATTAAGGTCCTATTACCCCCCTGAACTTATTTTATATGTAATTTTCTACCCCTTTTTAGCCTACGTGGAACTAGTTCGAAAAAAAGTCAATCATCGTTGGGCCCACAAGATAGTGCCACGTAAGCTAAAAAGGGGTAAAAAATTATAAATAAAATAAGTTCAGGGGGGTAATAGGACCTTAGTATTGTATAAGTGTGTCTCTGAGATTTCGGGCATAGGTTGAGAGGGTACTTGGGCATTATCCCAATTGTTAATCATTTGTCATCTTTTAGATTAATTATTTTGTGCTACCACATTCATACAATAGAATGGAGAAAGTCAACATGCGATTTTAAAGTTATCATATGTTGCTATCACATTCTTTTAAGAAATGAAGCAAATTCAATAGGACGAATTTCAAGGCTTTTCATCATAGCCTTAGTCATCATTATATCATCACTATGGTGCATTGACTCAAACTCAATGTTATCCATATAAGGCGTGTTAGGCCAAATTCTATGGGACTTGAACCCAATCCTTATTCTCATGGTGCATCAAAATTCAAATTGATGTCTTACCCTCTTTGTTCGATAGAACTTGAATCTACCGTCTTACCCTCAAATACTTTTTCATTATGGTGCATCAGGACTTTAATTTGATGTCTTACCCTTTTGGGTGATGAGACTTGAATCCATCGTCTTACCCTTAACCAAGACCGAAATACAACATGACTCACCTTTTGAGTCTTTCAAAACAATCAAAATAATATTCAAACTCATGCTATTAAAATTTTATGCCTTATTCCATTTAAGAAGTTATGTATAGCATGTCATATTCAACCAATAGTAGTATATGCCTTTGTTTCCTGATAACGGTTAGTGATTAAATATTATTATATTCTAAATCATAAAAATATTTCAGAAAATACATATCTGATTTTATGCAAATAATATCTTGATTCTCATAACGAGATCAACCAAAACATGAGCTAAAGAAAAACTAAACTCACTCTCGATTGGCTAGAGTCTCATGCTGATAACGTATTATAAGATCAAGCTCAAAACAATATAAGTATAAAGACAAAAAGAAGACAAGAAGTATAAGATGAAGGAGAGAACTTTTTTTTCTTATTCAAGTGTATCATACATTGAGAATGATATATCTATTTATAAGTAGAGAAATCATCTCAAAAGCCACTTTGATGAATGTCAAATTAATAAATACATCATTATCCCATAAAGATTCATGTTACCTTGGAAATATACATATCCAAGATAAGGATAAATCTTGGGAATACATATCCATCCTTGAAAAGGATAAGTTCATGAATAAATGGATCATCCACTTAGTTCAATGGTTATAACATTAAATATTTAAAAATGAGTGCAACAAAATAGTGAAAAAACAATCTCCCCCAAGGATTCATCCATCATGTCAAAGAAGAAAATACTAAAAATATATAAAATAACTTTAGGGAATAGTAGCTCTAAACAGAGAATGCATTTGATATTTTTCAGTAAAATATTAACCATGAGAACGAAAGAAACATTAAACAAAGAGACTAAAACAAAGCTAAGAACACATAGAATAACTACGATTTAAACAAACCTAAGAAAGAATTTATCTCAGTGAACTAAGATAACCGGTTGAGAAGCTGTTTCCACCACTCAAAAATTACCATGGAACAAAAAGATTTTAGATATGAAAACAAGAATAGCACCCAAAATCGTGAGAATGATCAGAGAGGCCTACTTATAGGGAAAGATTAGAGGGGATTTCCTGACCAAAAATGATGTGGGAGCACTCAAAATTCAAAATCTTAGAGGATAAGGTTAAAGCTGGCTGATTTGTAAGATGTAGAACGAAAACGAAAAAAAGGAAAAGGAATATTATTGTTGGAGAATTCCTGGAAGCTACGAAATGTTGGGTTTAGCAAAGTGTGAACGGAAAATTAAAAGAGAGAATATGAAAAAGTGAGCGAACCAATTTGGAGGGAAAATGAAAAGTCTTTTTTTTGCAAAGTGCAAATGAAAAGTCATTTCTCCCATATCGGCAAAAGAAAGAGAAATTGTTGTCCTTATATAAGGAAACACTTCCTTTACTTTTTAAAGAGCTAAGAAAAAGGTGCCCCTCACGCCATCGTCGTCGCTCGGCTTCGATTTCGACAAATAATGTGGTTGATTGATAAATTTTTTGGACAAAATTTATTTGATCAATTTTTGTTAATCAAATAAATCCTGTTAATCTTATCTCTTATAAATTAATTCAGGACTTTAGTTAATTAGTTAATTAACAGAATTAATTCGCATTTCCCAAAAGACACATTTTACGAAAAAATTGTTATTTTTTTCAAAAGACGCAACTTTCTGGATAAAAAGAGTCTGAACAGATTTCTCTATACGTTACTTGCTGAAAATGACTATAAAAAGAAGTCATTTTTCGTTTTTTCAAACACTAAATTTTTTTCTCTGCATATATTTTCTCTCAAAACCAAAGTGTCGATCGATTAAGTCTGTGTGACTTGTTGCTATTCTTAAGTTCGTTCAAGTTAAAGAAGCTTGAGGTACCGCTATTTATTTAACAGGATTAATCCATTTTATCTTGGGAGAAATTAATTTGTAACCTCGTTTACAGTGAAAAGATTAAATTTCTTAAGGAGACACAATAGTTTCTATGAACTCGGATTATTCTGTTTTCTGTCTACTTCATCTTATTTTTGTTTTCGTTTTTGACTAACCTTATTAGTACAAATTAATAACAAGAAATGCCTCACTGGCATGCGGACTTGTGCCGAGCACGCTGATATGTATGGATTCATATGAAGATTTGAAGGAACGGTGTCGTTTTGATGATGGGTCGGAGCTTTTGGAGGTTGTTCTTCGTTGGAGAAGAAGAGGTTGAGTTGTTGTGTTCTTTGAGAGCTTGAAAGGGAAAAATGCATTTGTTCAAATAATTTGTTATTATTTGATAAATATTTTTAGTATATAATTTAAATTTTTTAGAAAAAATTATAGTATTCAAGCCAAGTCTCATTTAATAATTTAAATTTTGCATCAAATTTTTATCTTTTATAATAACACTTTCTATAGTAGGTATTTTGCGTTATTTACATAATTATTTTTTTTAAGTGAACATTAAAGTAGTGATATTGAGTAAATATGAAAGTATTGATATGAATGAAATATATTTCTCAAATATGATGAGTGATTTTTTATTTTGAATTTAATTAATTGATCAAATAGGTTACTTCCGTAGAATTGTGTATCCCTATTTGGATAGTCCTATTTTTTTTTTTTATCTATGCAAACACAACAATATTTCAAAAATATATTTATAAAAATGTTACCTCCATTCTACATTGATAATCTTTGTCGCATATTGTGGAAACAAAACACCCCTAGTTCAAGACAGGTTTTCTCGCCCAAATATAATATTGTGTAAACAGGAATAGGGTAGAGCTGTAGAAATGAGAATTTAATTTACAGATTAGGATGCGTTGCATACAAATGTTTTCACATTGCCTTTTAAGTAATTTGTCATTCGCCGTCCCAAACTCAAAACCTCAACTTTTCCCTATTCGTTTCTCTTGCCATTGCAATACCTTTTTCTACTGCAATCTTATACGTCCAGAGCAAGTCTGTCATAAATTGAGGAGTTATGCGCCACTTGTACCTCTTGCTGCTAGGTCTTCGTCGTCAAAACGAACAGAAGACACGGAAGAAGTAATCGCTGAAGCTAGGGAGGCTGTCAGCTATTACCTACAAGAACTTGGTGTTTCTCATAAGGAATCCATCGAAGTAGCCCTCAACTCACCTAATTACGTTAGCATGCTGATAGATAGCGTCCGTGAACTGGATGAGTTTTCCTTATGGAATTCCACTGACTTTGAAAAAGCATATGACCCGGTTCCTGCAATTCCACCTTTCAAGAGCAAGGTCTACCTGATGGCAAAACAAAAAGGTGATAAGGGTATGCTTCCCTTCTTGGAGAGCATTGGCCTCACTCTCTCTTCCGCAACACACTTAGCTCGCTACCTTTCCTCGAATTCTCTGTTTCAGACACTACCTACCCTTATCAATAAGGTACGCCTACTCATTTCTTCTGCTGTATTTTTCTCTTGATTTTGTTTTCCTTACTCCTGTCTGTGTATCTTTTCTTTAAACAGAATAACACTGAACTCCTGTCTGTATATCTTTTCTCTAAACAGAATAACACTAAACTCCTGTCTGTGTATTTTTTCTTTAAACAGAATAACACTAATTACGGAAGACCTTTTGTTAATGTCAAATTGTTGTTATGTTGTTCATCTTTCCTAGTGTTGTTGGCTCATTCTATGAAAATCTCATGAGCTCTGTGGGAGAGTTCTGTCATCTCTGCAGGCATTGAAATATCACAGGAGGATGAAAAGTCTTGATTTAGTGTGGCTAGATAAGAAAGTAATATACTCGCTGGAATCTTTTAAATAATTGCTAAGGTTTCCTCTGGTTCAAAGAATAAGGCCAAGTATAGGTGACATATAGTTATTGATTAAGATCTATAAATTGTGTATATAAATTCTATTCATTCCATGGTTAAGGGAGTTGAAAAGGATCACGAGTGGCCATAAAGTTGTCACTTTCTTGAGATAAGAAGTTTGAACCCTTTTTCAGTTTTTTCTTAATGTGCTGATCCCTCTTCTACTTGCTCATAGGTTAAGTATGTGAAGAAAATATTCTTCGCAAACAGTGATGATGGAGGACATATTGCTAGAAATGCCCGGCAAATGATGATGCACTTGTCCATCAGTATTGATGAGGATGTCCAGCAGACCTTGTCATTTTTTCAGAAGGTCAGTTGCCTCCTTGAATCAGGATGGTTAATGGGGCTTATTTACTGTGCCTGTCTTGGAGTTTGTGGCACTGATGTCTGTTCACTTTCATTGAGCTACACCTACCCTAAAGTTTGTGGAACTAAGTTATTACAACTATATCTTGATATACTCCCTCATCTCCTTTTATGACTATTTTTCCTAAAGGGTACAGTCTGTCATCTACAGACCCTTGAAATAACTTATGGTCAACCACTACTTTATGTCATAGCCTTTACATGACTATTTCTCTAAAATTCACCCAGTTCCACCTAGTCTTAACATATTAGTCTAAACATCCAGTCAATCCCTCACTCTCCATCATAGTTCACAGTCCACTTAAGGAAACTACAACGAGTCAGAATAATACATCCTGCAAGCAACTTCATAATGTGATTGTACTTTTTGTAGATCCAAGCAAGACGTGGAGGTCTACATTTGTTAGGTTCTCAAGATGCATCTTTCCGACATCTTATTGAGTCATTTCCACGACTTCTTTTGCTACCTAAGGAGAGTCATATGAAGCGCCTGATGGTATTTCTTGATGATATTGGAGTGGTGGAAGGATGTAAGAGACAAATTCTTCTTTTATTTCCGCCTATTATTTTCTATGACATTGAAAAGGATGTTAGACCAAGACTGCAGGCGATCCTTAAGGTATCACATTATTTATTTATATCTGATCTTAATAGTTTTCCTTCCTTACTTATCTCCAACTCGGCCTCAAGTTTAGCGACTCATGGTTATCACATAAATATGATAGCAATATGCTCTATTGGCTTCTGTTAATATTACTAGTGCGAGACAAAGGTCATTTAGATCTTTATCATCTCTCTCTCTCTCTTTCCGTCAGTCTCTTCTTTTGGTATGTGTGGAAGTTCTGCACCGAAACCTGTTTGTGAGGATGTACTTACAGACGATTTTGAACAATTTCCTAGTATTTTGGGACTAAGAAAGGAGACAGTTTTCAGCCTTGAACTGATGTAGCAAACATAATTTTTTATAAATCTGCCGAGGAGAACTGAATTATAGTTTTAGAGTTCTGTAGAAATATTAGTGTAGGTATGAAATTGTTAACATACTATTTAAGTTAGAAATTTATTTACTTGTGAATAAGTTGGACAATCTAGGAGCTTTCATTTTTAGGATGGTGTGATTGTTGTTCATTTATTGCAAGGATGGTCTGGAGGCTAAAGATTTTGGGCAGATGTTGCTGAAATATCCATGGATTCTTTCAAGGAGCATTCTGCAAAACTACGAGAACATTCTGATTTTCTTTGATGATGAGAAGGTATAAACCCTGGTTACCCTATTTTGCACATGAGGCCAATTTTCTCATTTGAGCAGTTAGTTTTTGCTATGAAATATGTCTGGTTGATTCTAATGGGTCTTCTATGTATAGTCATTGCAACTTTCTAGGAGTCCCTTAATCCTCTGTATTTAATTACCTTGACTTGTGGTCTCTAATTCAGTGGTGTATCCACTGTGTAGGTTGTTGTTATCCACTGTACAGAAACAGTGGATTTGGTTTCTGTATCACTATATGCCTTGTGCTGCAGTAAGTTAGAGTGTAATATAGATGTCATTTTGCTATTTTATGTTTTGGGCAGGTGCCAAAAATTAGTGTATCTCAGGCAATTAAAAGCTGCCCGCTCCTTTTGGGGTTATCAGTTAACAAGCTGAAATTGGTGGTGGAACAGTTGGGTGACTTCGGCATTCGAAACCAGAAGTTGGGTAAGGTGATTGCTACAAGTCCTCAGTTATTACTACAGAAGCCTCAGGAATTCCATCAGGTGAGAGTCAAAATTATGGTGTTCACCTATCAAATTACTAACATCAGCACAAAAGTATGCAAGATTGTGCATTAGTTCTGATTGACACTGGAGCTTTAGTATGAGATTTTGGAATTATTTGGTGATGGTAGTTGTACAACTAGGCTGGTTGATCCAGGTAGCAACATGCTCCAAATTCCAATCGAAAGGAACCACACGTATGCTAGAAAGACGTATAGGCAAGCCTTCCTTTATGATACATGGATTGCTTTTCATGACTTTTCTTTCCATAGGCATATATTGCAGTCTAACCAGCTTGCAAACTTTAGGGACTGAGAGTCAGTCTTTTGATCCTCCTCGAGCCTAGTCTTGTCTTTCAAATTAAGCTTCCAATTTAGTTGGTGCAAACACCTTCATCTTTATTTTAGTAAATCTTTCATAATACTAGGTTGGTGAAGATGTTTCTTCCCCTTTCAAAATAAAATAAAATAAAATAAATCTTCACAAATCTTGGATTGAGATGATTACACAATTCTTTGGTTCTAAAAGCTTCACATTCCTGATTTAAGGTCCATCATAAATGTGATAGTGATCTTAGAAATGACTTCAAATCTTTTTGTTTCTGGAGTAGTAGACTGTTAGTTTGTCATTAGTTTAAACATGTGGACATGAGAAACTTTCCCATATATGGAAACAGGTCACATCAGTTCTACTCATATAGATGATTTTAGGGTCTTGCTTGTCTTTGAGGTATCCACACTTTATAACATTTAAAATATTTATTGATGATTGAAGGTTATTTGAATTGAGAATTGTTAGTTATAGGGGTATTGCTTTCTTTGAAGTATTCACCTTTATAGCAATAAAATATTTTATTGATGATTGAAGGGTGTTGAAACTGAGAAACACGTATGCTCGTTTTGGGGTATCCCCACTTTCTGTCAATTAAATATATTTCTTTTGAAACATAAGCATTTCAGTAAACATTTTTACTTATAAGAAGAAAAAAAATCATCACAATCTTTCCATGCTCGTAGAATAATCTAAAATTGGAAAAGATTCCAAGGGTAGTAACCATCTAGTCGAGCGCATACCTTAATTAGAGTCAGCTTGAGAATATGACCCCTCAAACCTTTATCAGATTTTTTGATAAATTTAACTATATCTATTAATGAGGATAGTTCTAGCATACAAGATGGATATAAAGTAGGGGTGACATTTGGGCAGGTCAAACAGGTGAAAACGGATAAAATACCGATCTTATCCATATTTGATATGTATAAAAATGGGTAAACTCAATGGATGATATGGATATTTATTGCTTCTTATTATGTAAAGAAACAAGTACTTGCACATTACAAGATTTTTTTTGCAAATCTTTTTCACCTTTTAGGGTGTATATTTGGCATGATGGTAAAATATTTCATATTTTCCTAGAAAATATTTTTCTTGAAAGTGAGTGCTTTGGAATCAAGGTCGGAAGGTCAAGAAACTTTTGAATAATATTTTTATGATTTAAGGTAAGTTTTGAATTTTCTAATTTTCTTATTTTATGTACGAAATTTTTTTCTTTAATCAAAGGAAAATAAAAAGGGCTGCCCGGTGCACTAAAGCTCCCGCTATGTGCAAGGTTCGGGAAAGGGCCTGATCACAAGGGCCTATTATACGCAGTCTTACCTTGCATTTTTGCCAGAGGTTGTTTGCATGGCTTGAACCCTTGACATGACAACAACTTTATCGGTTACTCCAAAGCTTGAACCCATGACTCTCTTGGTCACATGATGAGAACTTTACTGAGTACTCCAAGGCTCGCTTCCAATCAAAGGAAAATAAGTCTATTTGAAAAACATTTTTCAAAACATTTAAACCAACCAAACATGAGAAAATTGAAAAATCTTTTTCTTAATACCAAAACACCTTTAATAAGTGTACTTTTTAAAGGTCCTTCACCCTTACATACTTGATACTTTAAGGGGAGTTCATTTGGTGGATACCCATGAGTTATCCATATTTTATAGAGAAAATTACGCGGTTAAACAAACTTATACTACTTAATTACTCATCATAGCTATAGTTTGCTATAATTACCACTCGCGACTAATATTATACATTAATTACGTGGACTGACTTCGAGTTTGTATAATTAGCCACGTTTGTATATGTATAATTTGCCAGAATATACAAATACATATGTATAATATACAATTATCTAACCTATATAAATATACAATTCACCTCTCCCCCACTTTCTACCCTCTCTCGCTCAACTCTCTCCTCCCTCTCCCAATCTCGCTTGTCATATATACAAATGCATATGTATAATATACAATTATCTAACCATTATACCTATACAATTCACCTCTCTTCCCTCTCGCTCGCCTCTTTCCTCTCTCTCCCAATCTCGCTCGCCTCTCTCCCCCCCTCTCCCTATCTCGCTTGCCATATATACAGATACATATGTATAATATACAATTATCTAACCGATATACATATACAATTCACCTTTCTCCCACTCTTTTCCCCCTCTCTCCTCTCTCTCCGAGTGTCGCTCGCCTCTCTCCTCCCTATAACATGTAGTTACGAATTGTAATTATCAAACTATAGCTATGGAGAGTAATTAGGTTATTTTTGAATGGCTATATGAGAGAGTATCTCTATTTTATAATGGATAATATGTGTTGTTTCATATTTAACCCACTTTAAAATGATTGGAAATCAACCCATTTGAAATGAGTTGGATCGAGACCATAAAGTTTAACCATTTTGCCACCCCTAATACAAAGGGTAGAGATGAAAATATGACTTTATACGAAGAACACCCAATTTCCTGAACTAAGTAGAATGTATATGGAGAGAATTTCATACAAAAGCATGATTCTCACATACATAAGATGAAAGATAAAGGGTTAAGTCATATGCGGCCCCTTAAAGTTGTCCACATTTTTTACTTGGACACCTGAATAAACCTTGTACCCATTGAACAATTGAATTTTAACAAATTTATATCTATTTGACACAAAATAATAATAATTAAAAAGATAAAACACTCATGCATCTCAAACCTTATGCATACCAAATGGACCAATGAAACAATGTACATGTCGATTGGATTAAGTTTTTTAAAAAATCTCTATTTAATTAAAATAATTCAAAAGGAACTTCAAGAAGAAAAAAAAAAGAATATTGAAATTAACCCATCCCCAGCCCATCCTTCTTCTTCTTCTCCATTGAAACTTATTTCCAATTCCACAGTGTAGCTGCACCTCGACCGCTACTTATTTTCATTTCCAATGTCATCAAATCTTAATTCCTAATCATTGAGACGCACCTCAACTGCCACTGAACCATAGCCTCCATCCATTTCTTCTTCTCCATCGAATCTTATCCCTTTCACCGGCGTCAATAATACACCATTGCTATATATCAATCCAAACTAACCCTTCAATACCTTTCATTCTAATGGCATTGAACCTTTCATTTATGGTCTTCATCTTCTTTCACTAGTTATCATTATCACAATTACATGAAAAAATAATGAACTTTTATTGGAAAAAATAATCAATAATTTTGCTGGAATATTATTTTCATCCGAAACAATGGAGCTTTGTCGGAATATTTAAGACCTTAACTAGATCTACATAAAAAAAATAAAAAAGGGAAAAAAGTGGAAGAATAGTTGGAGGGAGAAGATGTTTTTTTTTAAAAAAAATTTACTTATATATTATTATTATTATTTATTAATATAATTTAGGTGTATAAGTTGGAAAAAGAGAAAGAAAAAATATCATTTTTTATTGTTCCACACGCTTAATGAGAGTGTTGCACACATTTTTTTGCCATATCAGCGGATTGTGTCTAATTGGAATCACTTTTGAATATATAAAGTGTTCAATAGGTACAAGGATAAATTGAGGTGTCTAAGTGAAATCTATGGACAACTTTAAGTGGCTGTGTATGACTTAAGCCTAAGATAAATTACTGATGTGCACGTAAGCTGGGTGTGGTGTGCTTTAACCTTAATAATGGTGATTCTTTGCTTGGGTTTTAACCAATTGTTTGAGGATTATCTATATGGCATGGCTGTAAACAAATCTCTACTGTATCTGTCTTGGCTACATGTATTTCTCCTTCTAGCTTGATATTTCAGATGAATGCATTCTCTCCCTCTTCATCTTGATTTTGGCATGCTTTCATTTTTATTTCAGGGAGGGAGGGAGGGAGGGCTTTTTAATTGGTTGTTACTATGATTTTATGATGATGAGAGAGATTGTTTTTTAACTGGTTGTTAACCCTATCAGAGTAAGATTTTATGATGATGCTTGAACATCTTCTTTGCTGATTATAGTAGATACTTTTTTTTTTGGGTGAATGCGAGTAGTATAATTATCTCAGCACCTGTTATATAATTTCTGTTTTCCGTGGGAGTAATAATTCATTATCTCCAGATAGTGTGCTTCTTAAGGGATCTAGGCCTGGATGATGATATTATTGGTAGGATTCTTGGTCGCTGTCCTGAAATTTTTGCATCGAGCATCGGGAGAACTCTTAAGAGAAAACTCAACTTCCTAATGGGTATTGGAGTTTCCAGAAGTCATCTTCCCAGGATTATCAGGAAATATCCCGAGTTTTTTGTATGTGATATCCACAGAGCTTTACGTCCAAGGTACAAATATCATACTCTCTGGTATATGCTTAAGTTGTTCTATTAAATGGCACTCAAGGGTGTGACCTAGTGGTCAATGAAGTAGGAAGAGAAATATGAAGTGTCAAGTTTAAATCCCAATGGAGACACATAACACTAGGTGATTTCTTCCTATCTGCCTAAGCCTTAAGCCAAGTGGACAGAATTATTTGGTATTTGTGTTTGTGGGATGCAGTAGGTACCCTGAGTATTTTGGAAATTGAAACGCAGTTGATTGATCCATATGAATGTTTAAATTTATTTTGCAAAGAGAACTTAGCCCAAGTCCAATTAAAATCCAGAAATGGGTCTAAGTGTAACCTAGCAGAATAGTACTATCAATTTGGGACAAAATAGCAACATTTCATAATGTTGTGATTTCAATCTAGTTTTACATTTTGCTGGGCATACAATTATTAGATAACATACAGATATATGTTTTTACAGCTTTCCAAGCACAATTATAAATTCCTTGTGCAAGTATGATACCTTGTGTTATGACAATGCTTTTCTAATTATCATTTTGAGCAGAATGATGTACTTGATGCATGTTGGGCTTTCGAAGAGGGAAGTAGCACTAATGGTTTGCAGGTTCTCTCCATTGCTTGGCTACAGCATAGACGAAGTTCTCAAGCCTAAGGTAGAATTTCTGATGAATTCAATGGGAAAACCAATAAGTGATGTAGTTGAATACCCAAGATATTTCAGCTATTCTTTAGAGAAGAAGATAAAACCTAGATATTGGGTGCTCAATGGTAGAAACATGGAATGCAGCTTGAAAAGTATGTTGGGTAAAAATGATGAAGAATTTGCTGCAGAGTTTGGAAAGGGGAAGATGCTTGTCCCCCCACTTTAATTCTGGAACATTACTCGCCAGTCGCCAGTGTTGTTTTAATACATTTTTTTAAGTAGATGCACGAATCAATTGATGGTTGGTGTGGTGGACTGGTGCATGTGCACAGGTGACTCGGTGTTTTTTCTTGTGAATAAATTCAGATCACGGAGTTTCAATACAGAGAGATTATTCTTACGTGCTTAACTAACTATAAATGAAGCTCAACATTGTCTCTTTATCTTTTGACTTTAGATTCAAAGGTGGATCATAAACAGTGTTCCATTTTTAAAAAATAATATTATTGGTATTAGTATATACTATATCTGTAACACCTGTTTTATTACTACTTAAACTAAAATACACATCTTGCAACACATAATATTTGGATTTGGATATGGGCAATAGTTACCTGTTTTGTGGGTCCGATCCAAATATTCAATGATGTTGACAAATCACTTCTCCTTCATAATTTTTCTACACCATGAGTGGTCGGAGTAATTTTTTTCTTGTGTTTTCCTACTCTAAACCATACAGACAGTAATGAAGTGCTGTAAGAATCATCGATTCTTTCTTATGAAACAATATACTGAATGACGGGTCTTGACTTTTGAGAGATATTTTTCATGTGAAGAATATCTGAAATTAAAATAATAGTAACACGAGTTGGGAAGGAGTATCTAGTTAAGTTGTTTTATTTTGTTATAGATAGCTAGAGCCGTCAAAATGAATCAACCCTAACGGGTTAGAGAGTTTAATGAGTTGGGACAAACCGACTCTTTTAATTAAATGATCAATAAAATAGCGGTTCAATCCAGCCCTAAGCGGGTCATGGGTTGGGACGGGTAGACCCTTCAATCAAAAAATGAAGATATTACTCTCTTAGAAGGAGTATCCAGGAGTATTCAATGTTGACATCTATGAACATGACATCTATACATACAAATTTTCATTTATGAATCACACATTTCAGTGAATACTTACCGAAATACATTTATGAATCTCACACTTCGATGCATGCTTACCAAAATACATAATAGACAAGTACAACATAAGATTTAGCAGAAAAATGTTGATCATTCAATCATTCCTCCCACGAAAAACAAGCTAGTTTGAAAGACTTGATTCTTTATGTTTTTAAATATTTATTGATAAAAACTTTACAAATAAAACACTATTCTCTCTCTATCTATCTATCTATCTAGCCCATGGGCAGCCTTGGAGGTTTGCAGGTTGAGAGACTAGCGGGTCAAGTGAGGTTGAGCTAAAAAGCTTTGTTCCTAAAGGAGCCAAAAAAATTAGGTATAACTCCACTCAATTCAAGAGTTGGATTGGACTGACCTCGCGGGTCAAGCCCATTTTGACTAACTCTATAAATAGCTTTTCAACATTCTAAAGAAAAGAAAGACATTATGTTCCACTAAAAATACTTATTTTTTTTTATATTTATTACAAATAAAAATAGATTGTGTTTGGCCTATCTTTTAAAAAGTGATTTTAAATGTTTAAATTACGAAAAAGACAAATCTTGTGACGTGGATGGCTATTATACATAGGAATAAAGCTTTTGGAATCATGTGAAAAATTATATTAACTCAAATTTTTTCCTTGTTAATACTTTGTTATTTGGAAGGAGGGTAGAAATATAAGAAAAGGACCGTAAGAGAAAAGAAAAAATAACTCATCTTTATAGTTGACAAATTCAAATCTTGATAAATTATTGATCAAATGATGGAAAAATTTATTTTAGCTCAGTCTTGTAGTATTTAGGCGATTTTTTCGTAAGTAAACTTTATTTTTTATTTTATTTTTTGCAATCAACTCTACTGACATATTTAAATTCTTTTGTATCCATTTTTTCTCTATTGAGACGATTAATAAATCTAGTCATTATAACTTTCTCATCTTCGTCACTGTTAGTTTGAATCCTAGTTGTATAGGTCAAACATGCAATGAAAGCTGGATAAATTAGGAGATACAAAACATTCCAAGTTCGATCAAAGCCATTTCAATAAAAACAACACTCATGAAACATTAAAACATCGGAAAAGGATCTGATATGCCTATCGTTATAAAAGTGACTCAAGTATCCATCAACGAAAGTTAAAAAATTAGTTTTAAATTTATATTTTTTACTTTTACTTTTACTTTTAAAAAAAATCATGTAATTGTATATTTGATCTTTCAAGTGAAGTTCAAAATATTTTTTAATTTATTTTTTTTTATACATAAATTATTTCGTTGACTTCTTTGAGTTTCTTATTAAAAATAATTAAGAAAGTTATATGACAAAATTTACGTGTCCTTTTCCCTTAAAACATTTAGGATGCATTGCAACGTGCAAAAATAAAAAAATTAACTATCATTTAATTTTCTCAAGATATATTTATTTATATGTTAGAGAGAAACGGCATACCTTATCTAATGGCCGTTGCAGGGACTCACTTTACTGTTGTTCAGCAGCCGCAAGTGTTGTTTGCTCCTAAGTCTTGCAGTATTTATAGTCGAACATTCTCTTTCCCTAGTGGTAAAAGCCAGAGCAATCATCAGTTCCAGTTTCAGTACCATACCAAGTCCAAGTATGGGGTTCTGAATTGTATATGCTGCTCTACTGATTCAAATTCAAGTCGTGGTTTCGGTCCGAGTGATGGCAACACTAACAAGGTATTGCTTCACCCTTTTAATTTTGTAATGGATAATTTCGATACTCTTCTTGCTACTTAAATTCAGGGTAAGAATTCTGCAACCGCCAGAAGGCAGGCCAAGGGCACAGTGCGGCCGCAAAGGTATGCTTCTCTGTGGAACTTCTTGTTACAATTCAATTTATAAATAATAATACTAGAAGTTGTCTTAACTTGGTAACCACCAATAACTACTCTTATCTAGTTAAAATAAAAATTACAATTGGTCTTGCATTTTGAAAGAATTTTGACTTTTGCAGCAAATATTTCCTTCTTTTCTCAAAATTCTCTTCCTCGTCCAATCTTTAGGTTGAAAGATGAAGTTGATGTGTCTTCTCTTGTTTTCGGAAGAAGAATTTCTCCATGACTCGTACCAACTTCTTCATCCTAAGAAATCTTGTAGAAAACCTTGACCTTCCTATTACACTCGTAAAATTACAATTTGTGTAAATCCACATACTCCATTGCTAATATACTGTGTTTATTACTTCAATTGCCTCTTGGTACCCAAAGGAGACCTTTGAAGATGCAATACTTGAGCAGATACATGCTTAAGATGAAAACAAAACTTGAAATTTGGTGGATTTAAGCAAAAGAAAGAAAATAGTGGATGCAAGTAAGTTTTCTTAGTCAAAGACAATCATGAAGGCTCTTTGACAAAATTTAAGGCAAGACTTGTGACAAAAGGAAGGATATGTTGAGACTTATAAGGTGGATTATTCAAATATACAACAGTATGTAGATGAAGACTTAACTTAAGAGGCGATATAGAACGGTCATTTGAAGTGGGAGATATTAATTTAATTAGAATGCACTTCTCTCATCTCCTACTGCTTTAGAAATTGTGTGTATTATTCTCTGAACTTGTACCTATGTTGTCTAGAATTGCATATTGATGTAAATAGCGAGTTTATTGTAGTTATTCTAAAGCTGTTGTTTACTCTTGCAGGAATTCATCTACCCGACAGTCAGACGACCTCCTTAATCGTTAGTAAACCACCCTACCTTGCATTTGTGTAGTGTGTAGTTGGGTATCATTTTGTTTGTACTTGTGGTTTACCGATTAATAATTTAAAAGAAAATAGAAAAGTTTGTTTGATTAGATGTATAAATTATGATGCATCAAAAATATTTAGCATTAAACAGATATTATACATTGGGAACTTTTTAACCTAAAATAAGGCATGCCAAAACTCCATTTGAAAAAATAAGAATAGAATTAGGTATGTATTGAGACAGAGGATGTATACCTTAGATTAATCATTTTACTTTCTCGATCTATGCTATAAATGATACATGGAGTTTGAATCACATCGTGAGAAACATTTCTCACATAGTTGATGATCTGATGGAATATCGATGTAACACTCTATCCCTGATAGGACTTTGGAGAAGACCAAACATGTTCTTAGAAAAGAGACACAAAATGTTGGGAGACAAGTCGTAGAGCCGTATGCTCTCGGGAGGAAGGTAGTCAAGGGTCGACCCCCTATAGCCTTTGTGAAAAATATTTGTAGTCTTGTGGCCTAAAGGATTCTCCTATTAATGAATTTCCTTTCTAGAAAAAAGTAGTATCTTTGATTTTTTTCATGTCATCTCCATGCTAGTTAGAGTAGGTCATTTGTGGCTCCGATGTTCTGGTAAATTGTTTTTGAACCATGGGTAATTTTTTTGTTCATGAAACTAACAATACAAAGAAAAACAATCATTATGGTTTAAGGTGTGATATATTGCTCGAGTACATGGTTGCTTGAAGTGTTTCCAACACTTGGTTGAATCTTCTGGAAATACTCTTTGAACCCCTGAATGTGTTGATAGATTACTGTTTGGAAAGTATTCTGATGTGTTTCTTGCCAGTTATTTTATCAACGTTACAATTTGATGTTTTATGTGTACAAGAGCTCTGATGCGTAGCGGTTTCATAGTGTTGTATGATCTGAGTTTGTTTCTATTTTCTGGCTTTCCCTTCCGAATTTATCTTTTGATTCCTTGCCTTGTCCTCACTTGTCAAAACTATTTGACACCACACATTCTTTTGGATTGTAAAGTTGATTCTTCTGGCTAAAATACGTATGCTTTGGAAGCTTATTTCTAATTCAAAATGTGTGAACACATTCTTCTAGTTTCATACTAAGTGGTCTCTTAAAGGGTTTTCCCCTGTTATATCTTGTTTAAGGTGAGGTCTGAGTTATAGGTGTTGTAGAATATACAATCTAAGGCTCATTATTGTGCAGAGGCACCTCGTTTGAACTCTACGAATGATGTCAGAAAGTCAAAAAGTGTGGGGTCAGATCTTCAGTTTGAGGAACGGTTGGATGTAGTAAAAAGGTGCTACTAGTATTTAGAATGGTTTCTTTCCTGCTGGTTTTACATTTATGCTTACCTGCAGTAGCTGTCTTATAAAATTAATTTTTGTTGTATTATTGCACTAACTTGTCATTGTAAATTTTCCTTTTGAGTCAATTATCTGTTCATATTGTATTGGAGTCCAAAATTTGATGACTCACAAAAGCAGATGAAAGAGATTATTTTTCATCATTTTATGTGGTGTACTCATTAGACTTCACATATATGCAAGTAGCCTTCGTATCCATGCTTCATCATATCATCTTGTATGTGGATAGTCACAACAATAACTACTTATCAGCATACCTTGTGAGGGTCTGGGGATGATTTGATGTATGTAGACCTTACCCCTACTTGTGTGGGGTAGAGAAATGTTTCGTACAGACCATCGGCTCAAAAGAAGTGTAATCAAAACATAATAGAAAGGAATTAACGATCCCAAAAATAGCAAGATAAACAAAGCAAATGAAGGAAAAAGTAGTGGGTAAAACAAAGAATAAGATACTATGCAATACTAGATAAGATTAGTAATTGAGGAGAAGGATGAGACAACACCCCTGCCTCTCCCACGTAAAAGTACTTTAACACTCTGCTACCTACTACCCTACCCTAATCCTCGACTTCCATATCTTGTCATCTAGGGTCATGTCAATGTGATTTAAATAGAGACTTCTCTCCCCAACCATTTGAATAAAAAGGAGGAAGTAATACATTCATACATAGATTAGGAGAAATTCTGTCAGCAGTCCTGGTCAATCCACCAGCTGGTAGTGGCCATCACTTTTCAATGACCTAGTATGAAAATAATCTTGGAACTACTTGATCATGCTTACTAGATGTGTCACCAACGTTTTGCATTCCAAACAAGGGATTGAATGAATAATCACTGGTGACAAGTGCTGTGATCAATTATTGAACTTCTGGTTGCAAAGGCAAAATTTGTGCAATTTCAACTAGTGACAAGTGCTTGATCAATTATCAAACTTCTGGTTGCAAAGGCAAAATTTCTGCAATTTCAACTTCTGAGTTTATAATCTAGACTGTTTTGGGATGTTTTTAGTTCTTGGATAAAGTAAGCTCTGCTTCGACAATGTAGGCATGTTAAATCTATGTTGTGTCAACTTTTGATGTCTAGTTTCTTACTTCTTGGACTTCTTGGTCCATCTTTGTGGGCTATGTGGGCAATGTGTTGATGACATTATCCTTTTTTTATCTTTCTTTCTTCATCGATTAAAATATGTTAGGTCGGCGCTTCAGCAGAAAAAAACAGAGGAAGAGAAAGCATATGGAGCAATTGACTATGATGCTCCGGTTGAGTCCAGAAGTACTACAATCGGACTGGGTACCAAGGTGGTACTATAATCTAGCTGACACATCCGCCTATTGATCCATTTTAATTCATTTCTTCATAAGGATACTAATAGATATATTCCAAATTTAATAGATTGGAGTTGGAGCGGCTGTTATTGTATTTGGACTCTTGTTTGCACTTGGTGACTTTCTTCCCTCTGGAAGGTAGATTCTGGTGCTTCCAATTATGCTGGCTATTTGTTATCAAATAGATCTCATTGTTTCCGTCCTATTTTTCTTTTCTACTCTATCTAGAGGTTTCCACGTCTCATGATTTATTTGGTGCTTATTTCTTTTTATTTCCCCCCTTTTTTATTTTGAATGTATCTTAATGAGGCCATTGGTCCAGTGTTAGTCCCACTGAGGAGATTGCCAGCAAGGGTAAGAGAATTGCTGAAGATGAGAGAGCTAACCTCCTGGTAAATTGTTTTCCGTCGCACTGAAATTTATAATTTTCTAGTGTGCAACTATAAGGTAAGACATGCTTTTGAGTTCAGTTGAAAGTTGCTGCAGAAAGAAGAAAGATTGGTGAGAAGCACCTATTGCTAATGCCTACCATCTCTTTATCTATAATGGGCTTGCATATGTAGTTATCATTGCTAGTCAGTATGACCAACTTCTCTCTGATATGAAAGTATGAAACAGGTTCGTACGGAGTTAAATGAATATTTAGGATATAAAATGTGCAATATTAGTAATTTCTACATATAGAAGCTCCTTAGAATAGAAAACTGTTTAGCAATATGTTAAATTCACTCAATTTTGTATAATTGAAGAATTCGTAAATATGTTAAGCAATGTGTCGTTCATCAGATTTGATGCTTTTGCAGAAGACGCTTCAGCAATTTGAGGCTACACTGGCTTCATCACCAGAGGATCCCATCTCGCTTGAAGTGAGTTGTTATCTATGATGTAATTTAAGATTTCTTTGTTTATTGTATGCTTACAGTGTCAGAACTTCCCATTCTCTAAGAGCATACCTACTTCAGTTTAGCCTCCTAAGAGTTGCATATACTTATGCTCGGGGTCTAGAAATTAATCTTATCGCATAAGGAGGCAAAAAATTTTTGCAACTTAAACATACCTCACCCATTAATACCATTGTTCTCTTTACTTTAAGATTGAGTAGCGATATGAAATGCAAGTACGTTAGCTTTTATTAGACTTTGCAACCTCTAGGTTAGTCCCCTTCACTTTAGACGGTGGTTCATTGCCTCTAATTGTTTCTGGCAGGTTTGTTGATAAGCATCAACCCATTTTTTCTTTGTGAGAAGTATAGGAGAAAAATATTATTAAATTGTGTATCTACATTATTACATTGCGACCCTATCTGTAGACTCTATATTACAATCCTTTTCCTGTCAAACGCTTCCCCTCAAGCGAGTGCATACAAGTGATACGAGACCGATGAGGGACTTGATGAAGATATTTGCAAGTTGATCCGTCAACTTCACTAATTTTATAATAGTATCTCAATTTGCTTAGGTTTCTCATGAAATACTGGATTTGATGCAGAATGTTTGATAAAACACAAAATGATCAGCTCCATTACAAGTTATGCCAAGCTCCTGAATTATTGTGTTGAACTTTCCAAACCAAGCTTGAGAAGACTATTTCAGATCATAGAGTGACCTGCGCAACCGACATACAAGGCTACTAGACTTCTCGCAAGCAACAAAATCAGGTGGTTGCTCCATATAGACTTCTTCCTCGAGATCACTATGGAAAAAAACATTATTAATGTCTAACTAATTAAAAGACAAATGGAAAATGACAACCACAGATAGAATCGGAGTATACCCTTTTGGCAAAAGTGCATCTGAAATGGAGAATAATATTGGAAAACTTAGATTTGTTGGAAACAATGTATTTGTTGTTGGAAAGTGCTTAAAATCTGGTATAAAACATATGGATTGTCTCGGAATCAAGAGACGAGTTAATATTGAACAAGAAAGTTGCCAAATAATTGGTTAGAAGAGGCTCACGCATCAGTGCGTGGTACGATCTAGTCAAAGGTGATGATATCTTTGGTGGCGCATGGAGGCACGTGGGAGTTTTATCCGTTGTAGTGTCAGTTGTGGTTTAAACGCAAGGAGATACTATACGTTTTGGTGGTGTTGATTTTTTGCACAACACTGGCGAAAAGTGAGACTATGTAAGTAATATTTGAGGAGTCACCGGAAGACACACGAAATTATGCAGATCAGATGTGTCACTAAAAAGACGCACGGTGCTACACAACTAGATATAAAAAAGTAGTTCGAAAAGATGCATGGTGCTACACAAATCAGATATGAGAAAGTAGTCACCAAAAAGATGCACGGTGCTACACAAATCAAAGATAAAAAGGCAGTCACCGGAGGTGCCACACAAAATCAGGTTTGTGAGAATAGTCACTGGAAGATGGACGGTGCCACGCAAAATCAGATATGAGAAAATAGTCACCACGAAAATGCATGGTGCTACACAAATTAGATATGAAAAAGTAGTCACAAAAAAGATGCATAGTGCTACGATAAAGTAACCATAAGGTAGATGCACGGTGCTATGCAAAATCATATTTGAGAAAGTAGTCATCAGAATGAAGCACTATGACTACTATGCATCTTTTCGGTGACTATTTTTTCATATCTGATTTGTGTAGCACCATGCATTTTCCTAGTGACTATTTTCTCATATCTGATTTTGCACCATGCATTTGTACTTCAAATAGCAATAAATAAGAGTAGTTAAATCTCTACATCTCCAAGTTTTGAAGGATTTTCCTTTGAATTCTGAAGCTTCGTTAAAATTTCTGCATAGCCACTGTAGAGCTACTCTACTCAACTCCATTCTTCTCACATACCGTCCAACACTCTCCACCCATTCAAACCTAGAATCTGAAGCTAGCTTAGTATCAGTTAAGTCATAAGACTTAACCCATAATTTGAAAAAGATTCTGTTATCCATCTCTGTCCAGAAATTCGAAGAAAAGAAAATTAAGTGCTTTAAACTAAAGCAGAGTGGGAGGTGAAAGCCCTTGTGGCCTGGATCAAACCAAGAAAAAGAAAAAATTCTGATTTTTGTCGACTCACGCGCCGGCGCGTGTCGCGAGTGACGTCGAGATCTGAGCAGAAGTGGTGGCGCGTGGGAAACTTTCTGGTGATGAGTCTTTTTGGGCTTGAGTCGCGGGTGTGTTTTAGAGGCTTTGGTGGAAGGAGATTGTCAGAAAAGGAAGAGGGAGGGAGGATTCCGGTGATCAAAAGGATTAGCGGTGGGGTTAAAGGTTGGGAGTTGATTTTAAAATTACATTGGGATTCGTGCCTGGGAGGAAAGAGAAAGATTTCAGTCTTATATATATATATATATATAGAAAGAGAAAGATTTCAGTCTTAATATATATATATATATATATTCCTCCCTTTACGCCTTTTTTCATTAATGCCCACACTTTATTTGCACTTTGCGCTTAAAGCCCCGACGGACCTTAGAGCTTTTTTGTGCTTTTCGCCTTTGATAACACTGATACTATATACTATTCATGTTCTTATTCTAACATTCTCTTATGAGGCATTCAACTTGAATTGATCAAGCAACTTCCCAGTTCGATAACACTAAAGTTATGGCAACTTTTTTCTGGTGTGCAACTACTATACTGTCCCTAACCATCTTTTTCCTTGCCTGTCATGGAAAGCTGTGGTCCCCTTGTCCTCAAAAACCCCGTAATCTTGTCCCAGTCAACCTTGACAAAAATGATGACAGTTGGGTGTATAGTCAAGTGAAAGGAGGAATCAAATTTCTACAAGGCTTATTCCAGAAAAACCTGGGCTTAATGTCTCAGCTCCTTCTCTTTCCCTTTATTCCAACAACAATCAAGTGGATTGGGTCTTGCTGGATTTATTAAGGTCTCAAAAATTTACATGCTGTTTCCTTCGCTTCAGCTACTGTATTACCTGTTGTTGCTATTGTTCCTTCTCCTTTATTTTTAGCATGGTTTTTTTTACTGTTGCATTTCTTTTCCATACTTGTCTTTTGATATGTTTTACTTGAGACAAGGGCATACCAGAAACAATTTATCTAACTTCGTAAGGTAGCGGTGAGAATGTGTACACTCTTTACCAAAACAGAACACCTAACTTCTTCACTTGTGCCTCCTTTTCTTTACAACGATACTGTGAAATTTATAGCTACTTGTAAAACGTTTAAAGGTATTTTAGTATTTCTAAAAAAAGAACAGCTTATCAACACTTCTTTACCACTTATTAGCAATTTTAGTACTTCTATCAAACACGACTGCCCATTATTAAATCATGATCAACATTTGAAATGCTTAGCAGCTATTTATAATCAGCTAGTTTAAACGGGCTCATAGTGCCCTGTGTCTTGTAAGGATTTTCCTTTATATTTTATGTAAGAATTATTGTATGCAATTTCTTTTTTTGATGTCATCCAATCCAAAACCACCTCTTTTTAATTTTCACTCTGCAACTGTGTAAGTTTTTTTTAATGGTTTTCAGGGAGCTGCTGTGACCTTATCAGAACTGGGGGAGTACAATCGAGCCTCTTCCCTTCTTGAAGAATTGATTAAGGTTTTCTTCAGCTGACTTATTTTTTGCTTATCAAGAGATTGTTCTATGTCCATATGAATAAAACGAAATCACCTGTTCGCGAATGCAGAAAAAACCAAGTGACCCAGATGTTTACCGTTTGCTTGGAGAAGTCAAATATGGACTGATGGATTATGAAGGGAGTGCTGCTGCTTTTAGAATGTCTGCCATGGTCAGTAGCTTATTAGCTGGATAATATGTCTATTCTGGTATACCTTGTTACTTTAATCAGTTATCATTGTTTATGGTGCCTACCTGTAGTACCTCTCTAGACTTGAACCTTTTGAAATGTTCGTTGGTTGTAAGGTTTTCGAAAGAAGTCTCCTTATTTTATTTATTCTATCTAAACATCTACCTAGCCTAAAAGTTAACTGATTTATATTCATCAGGTTTGTCATGTTAGTAGACCATACCAAATCCCACAAATAAAATGTTTATTAGAGATTCTTCACCTCTTGTTCATAGAATAGTTTTCTCAGCACTTGGCCAAACTCGAATAACCTGTTAGGATGATCTTACAGGTATCCGGAACTATTGATTTTGAAGTTCAACGTGGCCTTACAAATGCACTAATTGCCGCGAGGAAGCCAGATGAGGTTGGTCGGTCAATCTGCTAGTTCCTCTTTTTACATTGCTCCATTGCCTGCACTTCTAGACAGGAAATGATTCTCAGTTTCTTTGTTCCAGTTAATCACTTTTTTGACTGCTTAATAATTTGTGAGCTCTGATAAAAATATGAAGATGTCGTCGTTGGTGGAACTGAAGTAGAAAAGAGTATCTATATTTACCTTCGTAACCACAGTTCGTAAGTAGAGAAGTGAATATTATGCTCTGAGATTGAGTAAACACTGTCAAAATGTGTATGGTTCATTTGTGTTCAAGATTTATGTGAAATTGAATATGTAAACTGCTTTAGGTACTTTAGCCTTTCGCCAAGGGTATGATCTAAATGTTTTTCTCCTCTGGCACCTGCTCTCTTTCATGGACTCTTTATTTGTCTTGATGCACCTTTTAGCACTGGTCCGTTGCAACGGACCCTTCATTTCTCTTGCTGCACCTTGTTGAAATTGGATATGACATATATATTTGGTGCTTCTCATGGATCCTTCAAAATATACAACAAATTATATTTATCTGTATTGGATCCATTTAACATTAGGCACCTGAAATCAGTTAAGAGGATTGGTGTGATCTCTTAAAACTGACCAAATTTCTGCAACTTATAATGCGTGAAAGGGCGAAAGAATGATACTTAATATGGAGTACTAAATTTGGAGCTTATTGGGAATATGTGGAACATGTTATTGCATTTTGAAGTTCCAATCTTGAGAATTCAACTCTCCCCCCACCCCATTTCTCTCAATTTGTAATTAGTTTGATGTTTAAAGCTAAGTAAAATCTATTGGTTTCACAATGCCAGTTGCTCACTTTTTAATCTGATTGTATAAACTGTTCTTTAGTTGTTAGAGTAGGTTGCTTTAAATAGTATTTTCAGTGCTAAGCCTACTCTGTTATCCTATTGATTTGTGTATGTCGACTAGGAATTTCACTTTACTAGCTAACATTCATTGACAAAGAATAAGGTGACTTATATCAGAATAACATTCACTGAATTTTTTTAACATAGAGTAAAATCGCATGTGGAATAGATTCATTGAGAACGGTAAAGATGTTGGATGTTACTCAACGCTGTTGTAACTTAATACTCCCGCTCTCCCAATTTATGTAGCGCACTTTTCTTTTTAGTATGTCCCAAAGAGAATGTCGCCTTTCTATATTTAGAAACTATATAACGATGAAACTATTATTATTTTACCCTTAATGAGATAACTAATAAATCACACAAATGTCTAAGAATTGTTTTAAACCACAAGTTTCAAAAGTATTCATTTCTTTCTTAGATTCCGTGCATAGAAAAATAGTGTCACATAAATTGGGACAAATTAAATAATTAAATAGATCTACGTTGGGCGCTCAAGTCTGAGCAACTTAGCCGTATACAAGTGGTACACCAAAAAGTAGTCAACCTTACAAAAGACATTGTTTTCTACGAAACACATCCAATATTCTATACATAAAGGAAACTTATGGGTGCACTGGAAGTAAATAAGAGAAAAGAGGCTACTCCTCAAGTGAACAAGATCTTTCTACTCCATCAAAAGCTCTCATGTTCCTCTCTTCCAAATAATCCACATTAATACTAGAGGTGGAACATCCCATTCCCTTCATCTTCTTATTCGTCTTCTGAAAGCGCAACTAAACATAGTTTTTTTCACAGTGCTCAACATCACCCACTCAAGACCAAACGACGTTAATAATTACCACCACAAATAAGATGTCCGTAATAGGAGGTGATTCACATCTTTCACTGAGTCTTTACATATGAGCACCAACCAACATGGGTAATCTTTCTCAAATTCTCTGCTATCAAAATCACCTCTTTCAAAGCTAACCAAGTGAAAAAATAGGCTTCTCTTGGTAGTCGGTATGCTAGGGATCCATAACGAAATGTCTGGAAAGGCTGGCTCCTCCTTAACTAAAAGCTTTTCATAATAGAACTTAACAGAAAAGTATTCCTTATCCTCCCATCTCCATACATCATGACTATCATGTGAAATCTGTTGATTGCAAAGCAAATACTGAAATTCTTTCACCACTCCTAAACCTCAAATCCGCTACAGTTCTCCTTGTGGTCTCCACAAACGTTGGATTGCCATCATGAAATTTTATAGATATGTAGACATGTGAGTCTCAAAGTCTTGTATCCACACCACCTGTCCTCAAAAGCTCACCCCCATCACCCACCCTGAATGAAATGTTTAGAACCTTGCAAGCATTCAGCCATGTTGATATATCTGCAATGTTGGTATCTCTTGCATTGGTTCATATTCAGATAACTTCTTGACATAAAAGGTGATAACACCATCATTCCAGATTATCTTCTTGTATTGAGTTTCTCTACCATTCAGTTGTGTCTAAGATTGCAAAGCAACCTTCTGCAAGCATGATAAGAAAATGGTCATTTATCATCTTTGTTGCTATAAAACATAATTAAAATTGATTTCTATTTTGTGGCATTTCAATACGTGGACTTGATATGGGTATCTTACTTTTTTAGGCTGTTCAAATGCTTTTGGCATCACGCAAAAGTCTGAAAGAAGAAAAAACTAGTGGTAGCAGTGATGGAACCAAGAACAGTGCAGCGAAATCAAAGTCAGAGGTAGACCCAATTCAAGTAAGTTTGGCATGTCAATTGTGATACTCCCTCGGTTTTGATTTGTTTGGTACAATTATTATTTGGAGAGTAAATAATTTTTCAAACAGTTCTTAAATATTTGTAACTTTAAACTGTAACTAGTAGTAATTTTTAACTAATTTAAACATGTAAAATTTTATCTCAAAAAATAACTTCGCTTGGTAACTTAGATGAGTTGACACTACTACACTGAACACCTGTAGGAAATAATTGTTAGGCTGTATCACGTTTGCACTAACTCATCTGGTAGCCTGTAAAACTTCCTGCATTAATAAAAGGATAAACGCATGGATCTGAACAAAGGAGCAAATGTAAGAGAATGAAAGAAACAGCAAAGATTAAAAGCAAGAGTAAAACTATAGTTAACGATGGAGAAGAAGTTCTTAGCTTTAGATGACTAGCCCTACCAAAATATCATGTGCAAAGCTGTTGACAATTCCTACAGTTCCTTCACTTTGTTCAACTGTTAAGTTGTTGAAATGTGTTAGGTATTGTTGGTTGATATGAGTGAATATTGCAGTGTGCTCTCAATTAGAATTAACTTCTTGGCACATGATATTCTAAGTTGTCTCTTTTTTCTTCGATGCATAGCACAAACAGAGGTAGATGGTAACGTTATCTAAAACCCTTGTAGAAGTATGAAATAAAGTTTCCAATCTCGCTCTCTTATGTTGTATCGTTCTGTAAATGTTAGATGTAATTTTGAAATCTTACTCAAGAAAATGAGGTTGATTAATAAATTGACAATTTGGAACTTTTCTCTCTTTGCTGAATTTTGTACAGTTCAGTTTCAGCCACTCGAATATTCAATGTTCCTTTTTATTTCTCGTCAAATGCATGGCATCTTCTTCTGGAAGTCAAAGAGGCTGTCTAAATCCATAACTTCACAAATCCTAGCAATCATTAGCAAGCTATTGAGAATCTCAATGTTATTACTCAACAAGCATGAAACTAGTCTCCTAATGCAAATTTGTCTCCTTTTTAACAAATACTAGTTTTTTATAGTTAAATTGGTTAAGAAGAACAAATAAAACATCTATTTACCTTAGTGTTTACCTGCTTTTGAGGGAAATTGTGCAATGTATCTTTCACTCATTTGAGGAACCATTATCAAAGGCAAGGATTCTTGCACTCTCTTGCTTGAATGAATACACTCATTGCACGGTTACCTTTTATTCCTTTTCTACTCCCTTTTCAGGTTGACCTGCTTCTGGGAAAAGCATACTCAGAATGGGGCCATATCAGTGATGCCGTGTCTGTATATAATCAACTCATTTCTACCTATCCTGACGACTTTAGGGGTTACTTAGCGAAGGTTCTTTCAATTTGGTCCATATTTTACCTGCAACAGTTATTTGTATTTTTATCCGCTTAAAGTTTGCGCATTAGATGGATGGTCTATTAAATTTTGGAAACCATTTTGGACAATCCAAAAGTTGTTTTAGTGCAATTATTAATATTATTAGTAATATTGTGTAGTTTTTTAAGTTTAACTACAAAAGAAATATGAGAATTCCTAATCTTGCAAACCTTAGTTTTAATGTGGAGATTAGGGTGTCAAAATGAGCCCAAATATAAGTAAATAGCCCAACCTGCTCAGAATTTTATGGGTGTTAGGGCTCAAAATAGTTTAAATTAGGTTCAATCCATTCAAGCCTTGACCCATTTTAAAAGAATCCTCAATTGAGCTCAATTTAATATCCAATACCAACCCGTTTTAAGACTCTTTTTTCATTGATGTAATGTATGTTTCTATATTCAAGGTATGATTAATATCTATTTTTATATATTCTAGGATTTATTCGTCCATTTGTGATTCTTTTTTCTTGAGTTGAAACTCAAATTGTGGTTATAAAAGTTAAATAACATGTTAAAATTATAGACATTAAGCGGATCAAACTTGGCGGCTTATGATCCAACCCGATATTTTGCCCATTTGAGCCCAAAGTAAACTTGTGTGGGTCATAACCCAACCCAATTTTTTTTCAACCCATTGTAATATATATCTAATTTCAACCCAATCCGCCCATTTGACACCCCTAGAAGAGATAGTAGAGATAAGATTCAAAGAATAGTGTGAAGTGTGGCAAAAACAATAACTACACACCTAGTGTAATCCCACAAGTGGGATCTGTGGAAGGGTAGTGCGTATGTAGTCTTACCCCTACCTTGTGAAAGGAATAAATTGTTGTTTCTCATAATATATCAAAGTAGTGTAAATGAATATATTAGTTAATAAATAGTATAGTATCTTGTAGAATAGGAAGAAAATCATGATAGTATAATATCTTGTAGAATAGGAAAAAAATCATGATAGTATAATATCTTGTATAATAGGAAGAAAATCATGACATTTTGAATTTTGATGTTTCTATTGTAGGTTTATAGATTTCTTCATCTCGATTTGTGCAGGGTATCATTTTGAAAGAGAACGGAAATGTTGGTGATGCTGAGCGGATGTTTATACAAGTGAGTATATGAACATATTTATGGATAGTCTTGGGAACCTTTTCCATAAGTTGACACCATGATAAATGCTTCCTTCCATTTAATTGTTCATTATTATGGTACAATTATTAATTCCCAGATATGATAAATGGTTAACCCTTCTTATTGTGAAGCATTTTGGTTTTGCATTTATTACAATTCTTTTTCACGTAGGACTATTAGAATAGGAATAGGAATACTAAATAGTATCCTAATTGGTAAAGTATTGTATTCTAGCGTCTATAAATATAGGGTCTCAATGTAATAATGTAGACACAACAACAATTCAATAATATTCTTTCCTTATATTTCTCACATGGTATCAGAGCCTCTAAAATCTTGGTAAACAATCAAAGAGCTTCCGCTGCCGGTGGGCAGCTATTATCATCTATATATGCCGTCCATCTGGCTAATGATTATGTTAGCAAAAGTTGGATCACCGTGTATCTTTGCGGTAACTACTTTCTTATGTCTAATTAGTGTAGCACCGTGCCATCATTCAGGTGACTACTTTTTCATATTTAATTTTTATAGCAGCGTGCCATCATTTTGGTGACTACTTTTTTCATATTTAATTTGTGTAGCATTGTGTCATCATTCCAGTGACTACTTTTTCATATATAATTTGTGCAGCGCCGTGCCATCTTTTCGGTGACTACCTTTTTTTTGCATATCTGATTTGTGTAGCACCGTGTATCTCCCGAATTACTTTTCATATTTAATTTGTGTTGTACCGTGGATTTTTCTGATCTATTTTCTCATATCTGAGTTGCATAACATCATGTTTCTTTCAAGTGACTTAGATTTGATTTGTATAGTCTCATTCGTCTTTCCGGTGACTCTTTAAATCTGATTTGCATAGGATTATGCCATCATTCCAACCCTACTCATATTATTTCTTTTTTTCAATGGAGTCGTTCCATCAATTCGAATTATCCTATATATATAATTTCTATTTACTAGTTGGGTCGTGACATCATTCTGACCATGCCCATATAATTTTATTTCTTAGATTATGACCATTTTTAGCCATCAAATCTAATACTCCGGCATATGAGCATGTTCCGATCAATTTTTTGGTGACTTTCTTATTTAATATCAACTCATCTATTGATTCCAACATGATCCATATACTTCATACTAGGTTTGAGCACTTTATTGCTCGGGGGGGGGGGGGGGGGAGGTTTAGTAGCCTTGTATGTCGATTATGTGAGTCATTCTATGGTCTGAAGCAGTCTTTGCAGGTTTGGTTTGGGAAGTTCGACACTGGAATTTTATCTCTATGTTTACTGACATTATGCATGAAATCCAACATTATGCATCAAATCCAATATTTAATGAGAAGACAAGCACATTGAGATTAATTGTCAATTTTGTGAAGTCGAATGATCAACTTATAGATATCTCACCAAGCCCCTCATCAGTCCTCGTGTTAATAACATTTGTAACAAGCTAGGTACATGAATTGTATGCATTAGCTTGAGGGGGAGTATTAGAATAGGAATAGGAATAGGAATACTAAATAGTATCCTACTTGGTAAAGGATTGTATTCTAGCGTCTATAAATAGGGTCTCAATTTAACAATATAGACACAACAACAATTCAATAATATTCTTCACTTATATTTCTCACAGACACTATATACAATTCTATTCCTATTATTAGAGTCTGTTTGGCTTAACTTCAAAAAAGTAGCTTTTTAAAAGTAGTTTTTGAAAAAATCAAACAAAATGGGAAGCAGGGAAGTACCAACTTGTAACTTTTATCATTTTTAAGTTATTTTAAATCTATTTTAAGTTATTTTTAACTTTATCAAACACTCCCAAAAGCTAAAAATGACTAAAAAGTTGGTTTGACCAATTTTTAAGCCAATCCAAACAAGCTATTATTCTAACATTCTCCTCTAGTTGGTGCGTACAAGTTACGACATGTTACTTCATACCTCATCGAGGTAAATCACCTCTATCAACTTCACTTCCTCAAGTACCTTAGATAATGTTTTATCCTCTGGCCATTTACTTTAATCTTTTACCATCTTGGTATTCAACTTCAATGGCTCCGTTTGACGGAATACTTGAGTAACTTGAAATGGTCCAGATCACTTGGACCTCAACTTTCCAGGAAGCAATAGTCTTGAGTTGAACAACAAGACTATATCTCCATATCTGAACTCCCTTTGGAGTGTCTGCTTGTCGTAATAGTGCTTCATCCAGGCTTTGCAGAGCGATGAGATCTCTTAAGCTCTCAATCTGAACTCATGCAATTCATTTATCTATTCTAACCTTTAGTTACAGGCTTCTTCCCAATTCAAGTTCCGCTTTTTCAGTGCCTAAAGAGATTTGTGCACAAGCTCCACCGATGATGACATGCTTTTCCAAATACCAATTGATAAAGAGACATCCCTATTGGAGTCTTATATGCAGTCTTGTACACCTATAGTGCATCATCTAGCTTCTGGGACTAAACTACCCTGTTTACGTTCACTGTTTAGGACAGGATGCTCTTGATCTCATGATTGGAAACTTCCACTTGTTTGCGGATGATAGGGAGTAACAACCTTGTGTCCGTACTTCTCAAGCAACAAACTAAACAGCCGGTTGCAGAACTGCAACCCCCTGTCACTAATAATAGCTCGTGGAGTATCAGACCCGCTGAAGATGTTCTTTTTTCAAGAAAGCGGTGACACTCCTTCCTTAATTGTTTGGGAGCACTACTGCCTCCACCCATTTTGACACACAGTCAACAGCCACCAAGATCTACTTCTGCCTATATGAACTCACGAAAGGGCCGTGAAAGTCAAACAACTTAATCTCAATAATATGGGCTAGATGTGAAGGGACTTGGGTGATCTGTGGGGACTTTAATGTATCCAGATTTCCATCTGAAAGGACAAACTGTAATAGAATAACCAGAATCATGGCTGATTTCAACCAATGCATAAATGATCTTGAGTTTCTGGATCCTCCTCTTTCCGGAGAATACATGGAGGAGAGGTCAAAATCACAGTTGTGCGACAAGAATAGATAGATCTTATTCTCTTCCAATGGGATGAGAATTTCTCCGAAATCAGCCAAAAGTGTTCTCCCAGAACTTGGCTTGGACCATAACACATCCTACTATCCTGTGGTGATTGGAAACATAGGAAATCATATTTCAAATTTGAAAATTGGTGGCTTAAGGAGGAAGTATTCATAGACAAGTTAAAAGAACGATGGAGCAGCTCCAATGCAACTGGCAGACCTGATTCTCAATTAGCTTCCAAGCTTTGTCGATTGAAAGTCAAGCTCAAAGAATGGAGCAAAGCCAACAAGAACAACTGGAAGGAAAGGAAAGATCTGATTCATCACAAGTGGGAAATCTGGAATCCATTCCAGGATCTCAGACTTTTGACAGATGATGAACAACTGCAGTAAATTCAACTGGCTATAGAGGTGTCCAGAAATGAGGAAATTTCCCGGAGACAGATCCAGGGAACAATGGATCAAAAATGGTGACAAAAACAAACAGTATTTCCACAGAATGGCCAATGCACAGAAGATCCAACTCCATTGACATCCTCAAAATCAAGGGGGCTGAAGTTACTAATCCTGAAGAAATGAAAAATTTCATAGCGAGCTTTTATCAGGAACTCTACAAGGAGTCTGAGAATTGGAGACCTGATTTCACACTCCAATGGAACACCAAGATCTCCACTGAAGAACAGGAGTGGCTGGAAAGACTACTTGAAGAGGATGAAATATTAGAGGGGCTTAAACAGTTCTGCCATTGACAAGGCTCGAGGCCCTGATGAATTCCCGATGTCATTCTTCATATACTACTTACCTACAGAATTTCCATTGGCAATAGGTTTTTGAGGAGAGCTTCAATGCCACATTTGTAGCTCTTACCCCAAAGAAGGTGGGGGGCAACTGAGATGAGAAACTTCAGACCAATAAGTCTGTCTCATTACTGGAATGTGCAAGGTCATTGCAAAAGAGTGATAGATAAGCTAAAAAACCCTCATTATAATGACCATGATGTTAAAGGAAGGCACAGATGCAGCTTCAGTGGCAAGTAAGTGTGTAGACACTAAATTGAAAGGCTCAGCACCAGGGGTGATGTGCAAATTAGACATCAAGAAGGCATTCGACCACAAGTTCCTCATAACATAAATACTATGCTCTCAGCACATATCCCAAAAACTCTCTCCTACTTCCTAGGAGAGAGAGAGAACCCTCATTCCGTTTAGGTCGCCTGAGAACTACCATCTCTCTTCTTCTTTCACAGCTATCTCCTGCCATAGTCTACTTTTATTTTCTGTTCTCTCTCTCTCCAACAGATATGGGGTGGAATAGAATATATTTCAATGCAGGATTCAAATCATTTGACATTGGCAGATGGAGCTCAGATGGATCTGTTTGGTATGAATGGGTGGAGAGGAGTCGAAGGATGATAAGAATATCAACTGTTAGCTGCAAGGTGATGGACTGGATATGTTTTGTCACGCCCTAACGAGAAAGGGGCGGACATCAAGGATATGAGGTTTTGGCCAAAAACATCCTTCAACAATATCTCAAACTTAAGCTACATCCTTAAAGTATCATTCTTAGCAGAAAACATCCTTCAAGTATTTAAAAGTGAGCAATTTGGGTGTTCTAATTAGGATTCCTTTTAGAGGAAATTTGGTGGATATTGGGTTATGGGGCGAATAGTTAGGTTTTAGGTTAAAAAGAGGGGTTAAACGGGTAGTTCAATAGGATTAAGACACGTGTAAAAAATTAGGAGTCTTAGTGAGAGGGGTATATGTGTACCTAGCATTGAACGGCAGGGGCTTATGTGGATGCAAAGTATAACAGAAGGCATATACGTACCATTTATTAAAGTTCATACGTAACTCCATCCTTTTTCGCAATCATAAAATATAAATTAATTAATAAAAAATAATTAACCGGAACCGGAATATACTGGAATTAACTTGTACCGGTACACCGGTATTAAATTGTGATTACGTTCCGTCCCAAGTACCGGTTCACTTTGTCCCATTCCGTTCCATAGACTATCGGAATGGACCGAAATGGTACAGGAACGGTACCGATACAACCCGGTCTGGTGCCCAGCCTTAGTCACTAGTATCTTGTTGCCATCTCTGTAAATCACATGCTTCATATTTTAGTTTTTCTGTGACCCCCTTTGCTAGCTTTGCTCTTTTTCCCATATACAACTTAGTTATAGACAAGGAATAGGTTCCTAAACAGCAGTGTCATTATAGGCCCTCTATGTTTCTACCTATGCTGCTCAAATTCTCCAAAATGTCTACACACGTTCGATCTTCTAAAAATGCAGTTTGTGAATCTGACATTAGACCAGTGTTTTTAATAAAAATATTCAACATTCAAGATGTGCCACAAGTTTATGTGATCTTTCTGTGATATCGGACACTAGAACAGTGTGTTTTTATGACAAGATATTAAACATTCAAGTTATGCTACAAGTTTATGTGATATTTCTGTGATATCGGCATGCTTGCTGGTTGCTATTGGAGACGGTATTCAAACTTGTCAAAATTTTATCTCTTAACGTAAAAATTACACCTGCAATATCTTTTGAAATTTCATAAGACTTACCTATTATAATTTGGATTTTTATATAATTTATCTTCTAACATGTCAGTTGATGTCACAGGCGAGATTCTTTGCACCAGAGAACGCTAAGGCGCTTGTTGATAAGTATTCAAAATGATTTCCCTTGAATAGTCCTTTGATATCCCTGGCTGTTACACTATTTTGATGGCTGAAACAGGGTTTAATTGTCCAGCATCAGAGAAAAGTTAAGTAGCCTGCGGCTTATGAATTGTGAGATTCTTTGGTTACTGGGAAGTATATAGTAGTGGATGGCAGTTACCAACATATGTTTCATTACTAGTTATTGTGTAGACATATAATATTTCTGTTGAATAATGTGGTATGTCGAGTCGGTCAAAAACGCTATGTTTGTATTCAGTTTGCTCAGTTGCTTTTCTATAATATACGTGAGGTCAGCACTCAGCAGACTCCTTAGATGATACATGAAGTTGACGTCATTGACGCAGTACTAACTTGGCTAATTTGGTGACAACCTGCCAAAACCTGCGGGGTTCTGATGAAGGAAGGAAACTGACTCATGTAACCATCAGATTGAATTAAGATAAAGCAGTCATAAATTGGTCAATGACTAGTCTCTCACCAAAAAAAAAAAAAAAGACTCGGTATCAATTAAAGTAACAACACTATGTGGAATCTACCTAATTAAGGATATTTTGAACTTAGATTCTCGTATAAACTATGTTACTCAAAAATTGCATGAGTTGCGGGCTTAATGCTACCAGTTAGAGATTGTATTATGTATCAAAAGGAGCTCAAGGCATTTGTGATGTGATGAGCAACGGTGAAACAAACAAAATGGAAGAGTATTAATTATCCTTGAACTTGACTATTTGATAGTGTTCCACGATGTGATTCAAATACTAAGAGAGTAGTGAGATATAATACCGTCCGTTTGTGTTTCTTATCAAAAGTAACCTCTCATCTAACTAATGGATCACAAAAGGCACATGTATGTCATTTTCAAACTTAAGAAGCCATGCATAGAAAATTGCTAGAAGAGAAAGTGATAAAGCGAGAAGAGGGAGGAGTGAGTTAAATGTCTGATAGACAAGAAATGTACAACATGCATGAAGACTAAATACGTAGTAATTAATTAATTTTTTTAAAAAAAGGGGGGGAAATGAATAAGAAAAAGCAGTAGTATGCTGAATGGATGATTCATATACTGCACAATTGAGGAGGCATGATATTGTGTTGTTGTTGGTGATTGTCTGGAGAGCAGCAGCAGGCGCCGACGACATTATTGTGAATAGTAGTATCCTCATTTGGTTGTTGTTTATTAGATTGTATGGTTTTCAAAATCTTGTCAAAAAGGGAGATTTGACAAGGAATCTTGAGGATTCCCTGTTGTTGGAAACCAAACTCTTCTTCAGCTTCTCTCAAGAGGACTTGAAATGATTGATGGGCCAAGTAGTCCATTGGGATGACAAATCTCTTCTCCTCCTCCTTGCCAACGCATAGTACTGCAAGGCATCCTTTGGGGACATTATTATTATTATTACTATTACTGACGTCTTCCTTGTCTGAAAATGAAAGAGTTTTCTTGAGGAACTTATTGATGCTAGTACCACTACTAGTATTGCGTTGAAGGTGAGTAGAAGAAGGGGATGCAGCTGCAATCTTTTTCCATTTTTTGAGCAGCTGCTGAAGCCTAACTATTTGTCTGATCTTATTACAAGAACTTCCAGACCTAAGAAGCTGCTTATTGTTTGATGGAATATCCATATTCATAGTATCTAGCTCTAGCTCTAGCTCTAGCTGTTATGAATAATGATCCTTCTTATATAGTAATATATATATATATATATGTATATGCTTATTTGATTCCATTAATTAAAAAATAATCAAGTGTTGCCGGCCTACTGGTACGGTACCTTCATCAATATAATTATTATTACCTTACCAATCTCAATTATCAAATAACTAACCCTAGCTCTCTTCCGTACAAGTTATATTATAGAATGAAATTGAAGCATGACTAAAATATATAGAGTAACTTGTTGCATTTAATTCATCACAGCTTCTCTTACGCTGGCTGGCTGACTGACGTACGAAATTAGCAATCTATCTCCTCTATTCTAATTAAAATAACCTGGCCACTACTTAATACATATATTGGATTCTAAACTTGACTTCAAATTTTAATTTTGACCTCCAATTTTCATAATGCACAAACAGACAATTTAACTATCCAACTTTTAAATAAATAAACACATTAATCCTACATGGCACAATACGCATAGGACACCACGTAGGACAAAAAATGACATGTAGGACATGTGTGTCTATTTGTTCAACTTTATACAAATTTAAGTGTCTACTTGTGCACACCCAAAATTGAAGGATATAAATGTGATTCGAAGCCAAATTAAAAGGTACATGCCTTTTTTCTTATGGGTAATTAGGGGCATCGGGATAGCAAAAATGTCATGATTAGGCACATGAACATGATAATTCATTTGAGAAAGTCAAAAGCTGATCTGATATCAAATAATAATAATAATGATTATTATTATTAGACGAATATGGCAGCGTAAGACGTGGGAGCCTGAGATAACGTGATTCATTCTTGGGGAACTTTATACAACTATTTCCTCAACTTCTCATGATCACCACCTGCCATGTGATCATTATTATGTTAATGTGCCCTGCACTATACCTACATTCAAATTGTACACCATATACGCACTACGTTTACACATCATTCTTCTCACTCCAAAAATGTTTCATTAACATTTCACCCAAACAACCCTTATCCAACATCGTCAAAGTTTCAACTTTTTGCTTCCATCTCTAGATGGAAGGGGTTGCGTATTTATTCAACTCACATGCCAAATATGTATTAGCAAAAAAAAAAAAAAAACACGACTTATGTTTACTAATATAGTCTTTACAAACACATTGTTTACAAACGATGAGCCATAAAAAGATCCCAGCAAAACAACAAATTTAAAAAGGTACATGTGTTATTCAATATCACTCTCCAATCATTCACCAGAAATGCATTTTTAGGAAATGAAATATTATACAAACATACCTACAACAAGGGCGTAAAATGATTAGTGATATTCATTTAGCCTGCATCATAAATCCTAAGGCGTAAGAAACATATTACAGCTTGCTGCACCCAAAAATTATAATTACAGTAAGCTTCAACCAATAATTAGCTTTCCTCTCCCAATACTGATTGCAAAAAGTTGAAACTTGGGAGTATGAACCAAAACAAGCCTCCTAGATGTTGACCAGCATCTTTTTAAAGCTAAACAGTACCTGCTGAATTCTAGCATTATGATCCAAAACTGATGCAACTGGAGAAGTACTCAATCTAAAAGAAATATAATAAGTTGAGAGGAGACATTCTAAGGATTTAATGGAGGACACAGGCATGTAATAACTTTAAACCCCTTCAATGGTTGTTCATCTTCAACCTGGACTTTACACAAGGATAATTTGGTAAACTGGGATCTAATGGGAAATCAAGAGTGTAGTCTGTGCAGAGAGTATAAGCGTGAATGTTATTTATAAAAAGGTACCTAGAGTTATAATTTCACATCATATGTAATATTTTAAAAGATTGGGTATTTTGATTATTATATCTTTAAAGTGGATATTCCATGTTAATTTTCCGAAAAGATGATATAACAATTCAGCCCATTTGAGTACCAAAGAAATAAGAGTAATTTGTGGGCACCCCCCTTTTGATTCAGAGTTCTATATGAACTTCATCTGCAGAGAAAATAATCAAAGCCAACAGACGCTAGTTTCAGGGCACACAACCTGCCTCAAGAACAAAAATCATGAAATGGAAGCACATCCAGGATGATCATTTTTTAACAATTTTCCAATATCCAACTTCCAATTGTTAAAGATTTCTTACGGGGCACTTTACCTTGTTGAAACAAAAAGTAAAAGGAGCTCCTATATCTCCACTGAATGAGAACTCTGAAGAAGGAACCTATTCCACCTTGCACACCTCAAATGTGTCAACCAGACCCTTTGGATCCAGCAGATATCTCTCAAATAACGACCTTGATGAATATGCCAGTCCTTGCGTAAGAAGGAATTGCTGCTAGCTCTATAAAAGTAAAATGTTTTCATGAGATGTAGAAAGAAGTAAAGCACCTAGGACACTACTCTCGCAGACACTATAAACAACATTCATCTGCCTACTTTTTGAAAATCCAGACCATAATTATACAGAGAGTTAAAGCAAGAACGGCAACCGAACAGCTAAACTGTATCAAAAAATTGGGCCTAGGCCATATGCACAATTGTTGAATATAGAAAAGTCAGAATGCTAATGGATGATCAGGTTTAAGAAATGCTTTTGAATGTTGAATATCCACGGGTAGGATCAAAAAATGCTACCATACTTGGAAAGACATAGATACTATCACAATTCCAAAACGCTAAATTGAAGTGCATCATCCATCTAATAGGATTATAGGAATAGAGTTTCCAGCTTGACTGTAAGAAAAGAAAAGACTTCTATCAACATTCCAAAGTAACATAATCCCTTCATCATAACAAACAAAAAGAGCCACCATGTTGGTAAGTTATAATGTTCCTGAAGGCCTTGAAACTCAACTAGAAGAATCATTATGATGGAGCAAGTACAAAGAGCTTGTGGGTAGCCGTATAGGTAGTTATGAAAAGCAAAAGATGATAAAATCTTTGAAGACTGAGTTCAGGGGAGCTAAGAAAGTTGCTACCAACGCCTCACGTAAAACTCTAGATGACCTGTACGATATGGGGCAGAGAGAGAAACATAAAGCCAGCACAATGATAGAGAAAGGGGTACAAACTACAACTATGATGTGTATTATTTGCTTTTGCACAGCAATGTGGCTACTGATCTTTGGAAATTCTCATTTTTGGGTTGAAATAGGTCATGCTAGAGACCACAAAAGAGGAACATATGAACTGGAGCATGAGGATAGTTGATGAAACCATCAAAAGGATCTGGCTAATGATCCCTGCTGCCATCTTCTGAAGTACTAATTGGAATGAAAGGAATAGGAGGTATCTTGATGGAATCTTAACAACAAATCACTCCCTCAAAACTGGATGCTTACTTTTTTGCTGGTCTTAATTGTCTAATGTATCACTGTGGAGGCATACAAGGTGTGGCAGTAAAATGGATTAGTAGCAGTCAGACAATATATGAAATGGATCCAAACAGAAACAAATTGGAGAATATACATAGTTGGTCATACTAGCTTGAATATGAGGTGTAATCGTTGGTCGTGGTGGTAAAAAGTTAAAACTATTACTCCCTCCGTCTTATGTTGAATGCTCGTTTCTCTTTAAAGAATACAACTTAAATCATACATCATATCTCATATCTTAACAACAAATCATATATATATATATATATATGTGGCGTCACCACAAACAAGATTTCCCTTTTAATTTATTTATTTCCAACACTAGCCTTCCTTTTTCATAAAAAGTTGTGACTTTTACGAAAAGTCATGACTTTAATGAAGAGTTGTGACTTTTACATAAAAAGGTTTAACTTTTGTTAAAAGTTGTGACTTTTTATGAAGAGTTGAGACTTTTATGAAAGGTTGTACCTTTCCGAAAGATTGTAACTTTTCCAAAGAGTTGTGCAATTTCCAATAAGGCACAATAAAAATTTATTCAAACTATACTTTGTTGTCTATAAATAGAAGGATTTCCTGCCACTACTCTTGCATCTTTCATTCCACAACTTTTAACAATGTTGAAATGGTTGAATTCATTACATTTGGTTCTTTAGTAAACAAAAATTTTATTTTTGCCACTATTATTTTTAAGGTTTTTTTTTTCCACAAGGAAGTCGAATTCAAATAAATTATTTAAAGTTCTTATGAAGTGATTTATTCCTCATATTTCATGAAGCTTAATCTTTTACCATAAGTCATAGTGATTCATGTATGTATTGCATTTTTTATTTGCTATTTTGGTGACTTTTTTTGAACTCTTTCAAAAATTAAAATTCCAGTAAGGAAAGTTGAAAATTTATCATTTCTTTTCCCTTTCTACGGGTTTTTTCATTAATTTTTTGGAAAGTTTCTTGTGGGTTATACTATATTTGATAGCACACAACAACAAATATATGATAACTGATGCGGAACCAATGATGAACTTTGTTAAAAGAACCAAACAAATTGTTGTCTTGCTTGCCCCAGTTAGTATATTATTTTGATTGTTTTTTTAGGTACATACAATGAGTATGTCATTGCACTCTTCCTAGAATATTAGTATAGACAGAATTAGTCCACTTCTTTTTTCGCAAGTTAAGTAATTTGCCATATTTCTTCTTCTCTTCTTTTTGGGCATAATAAGAATCAAGTTTTCTTGAAACAAACAGATGTCCAAAATGCACTATAACAAAAATATTTTTTATTGATAATAAATATGAACATTAACGGAGAGTGCTAGAGCCTTTACCGACATTAATTAATTGACATTAGACTCAATGTTGCTATAATCTTTAGGAACATTTATAAAGAGTACCAATTGCCTCTTAAAATACATACTTACCAATAATTAAACTATTAATTGTTAAATATCATATTTACTATAGTGATAACTCTTCATTTTGATAAAGTTTTCTGTTTTTCTTTTGATAAAGAAGTAACAACTCTTTTTTTTGGATTATTTCAATTAATTTTTTGAACTGTAAGCTTGGATACAACCTGATAGACTAGCAACATGTCTTTTTCTTCTTGATTGCTAGGAAAGAAAGGTTGTTTTTATTATTATTTTTGGATATTTGTGAGTTAAAGTGCTCACAAAATTATGTTGTTTGATTTTAATATGTTATGTATCAAAATTTTGGTTTATATCCAATTGTGAACAGTTCCATTCAGATGTCACCAGCTTCTTGGTTGATAATTGAATTAATTCTTTCTAATTGCATAGTATAACCATAGAAATAACTATGGTTCAATTCAAAATAAGTTGGGGCCTGTGTTATAAAATATAAGCAATAGTAATGACTACTCTGAGACAATGAGGAAAAACATTTACGGTACAAACAATTTTAGGCTCATTTTTAAATATATACATGATATAATAAAAACAACTTGATTGAGGTTCATAAGAAAGGAGTCGAAGATCTTCCATTTGAGTTTAGTTAATTATGTTCTTGTATGGACGTG